GTGGCCGAAAGCTTCCATGATTCATGCATTGCATTAGCTTGGTGAATTCATTCCATCATCATACATGAGTGATGCAGCGTACTCCTTTCGTCTCGCAATAAATCAATATACGATCGGATGAGACATTTAATAGTAAAATAAATTAAGATAGATCCAAATTTATTTTTCTTTTGTCTAAATTTATTTTACTATTAGATGTTTTATTTTAGATTGCTTTTACGATTAAATTTTTCATTTAATCATATATTACTATATTATGGGATAAAAGGAGATACATCCTTTTCTTTCTTACTTTATCAGTTTCTCCTCTCCTTTTTTTTAAACCTTTTCTGTGATGCTGATAATAAGTGAACCTAGCTACTCGCCATCTTGTAGTTTGGTTCTTTTTGCTGTTTGACTGCATGAGTGCGACGGTCAGATCTATCGTCCTACCACCAATTCAATGATGAGAGGGAGCTTTACCTGCAGGTCTCTCATCAACGACAAATTGGCATGGACCATCGACGCACAATGTATCTAAGTCGTTGATTACGTGGACAACTGTATGGTCAAAGTTTCAAAGAAGTTTTCGATCGAATCTGCGTTAAGGCCTTTTGTTCTGTAGAGAAAACATAAAATAGTTGGGGATTCAATCCGAACCAAAAATTCATAGGAAAGTCTTTTTAAAAAATGATTCAATCATGTCTTTTTTTAAAAAAAAATTCTTTTTTTAGAATGGATTCTGAAGGAAAGTTAGTAAAGAGCTCCAATTAATTAACCTATATATTGAAGATAAATCATTTGGGTCAATCTTCTCATCTGATTTCTATATGTTTCCTACTAAACAATCATTTCACGCTTCGCAATTATATGTTTTTCTTTTACTTTATTTTTCAATCTCGCATTTCAAAAGAGCACTAAATATTTATGACCATAGGAAATATTTGGCACTTAAGGCATGAACCTTACGGTCCAACTTTTAAAACTTTGTTCATCAACTTTTACTAGAATAAGGAGTTTCCAAAGAAAAATATTAAATACATTTATAAAGTTATTGGTACTTTATGTATTGTTATATTTCTTATGAAAGGTTTTTGAAATCTATGATAGAATATTTCGAAGATATGGAATAATTGGCTGAATATTTTATATTTTAAGTATATCAGATAATTTGCCAATTCCCCTAAAGAGTCTAAACCTACTTGTGGTGAATGACAAATCACTGCAAAAGATAAGCTAGCCGTGCTCTTAGGAATCACTATGACACTTAGATCAATAGAAGACGCACAACTCTCTAGCAAGCCCGTGATGCTGCAGTATTGTAAAAATAAGGATGAAGCCAAAGTTGAGCCTCCCTCTCCAGCTTCTATAAAAGAGGAAGTTGGCCGAACTAGAAGAATACAAAGAAGCAAGATCATTCAACTAAATCCCAGAAGCCACTTTCTAATTCTAGTAGTAACATGTTAAGAGTCCACCTTGCTAGTATGTTGGAGTAAAGATTGTGACATAATCAGTGTAAGGTAAGCAAATCTTATTTGTATTATCCCTCAGAGTTTCTGAAAGGGAAAATCAGAAGTACGATATTTTGTGGATATGAAGTAGTGTTGTTAAGCATCACTTACTTGATCCTTGAACTATTTATGTGAGTTTAAGTTCTACGCTAAGGATCTTGTAGTTCTCACACATCATCCTACGTTCAAAACATGCAAGAAAAACCTTTATCTGTTGAGGAAATGTTTCCTTTGGGTAGATCTACCTAGGGAGATAATAGATTTTTTTCTCTCATATATTTAGTCGCAAAGCTTAAGCCATTTCTAAAGCAAAACAGTTAGAAATATGATGAGCACCAAGTAAGCTTACACAACTAGTATCGCACACCCCGTTGTCCCATTGGTCTCGACAACCTGTATAGATCCTTAAAAATGAAAGTAAAATGATATTATTAAAAGTTTGGTATCAGGGTCTGGTCACCACTGAAAAATATGGTACTACCTACTGTTTTTTAATATATGACGTTGTTAGCTTTTTATAAACGTTTGATCATGCTTAAAAAATATTTAATGATAAATCATGTCATAATAAAATAAATTATAGTTACATAATTGTTTTTAAATAAGGCGAATGGCTAAACGTATATAAAAAGTCAACGGTGTTATATATTTAAAAAATAGTTACATAATTGTTTTTAAATAAGGCGAATGGTAATAATGTTATTTGCAAGTTGTCAAACTTTAAACTTTGGTTATCAATTTTTATAAGAAACTTGAGAGTGCAAAACACTGCCCTCCTCTTGAAGCACCTTGTAAAGTTTTACAAAGCTGCAGATTTGCCATGGGTTAAATTGATTTCAGAATCATATTATACTTCAAAAGTCCCACATTTAATCATGAATAAAGGATCTTTTTGGTGGAGGGATATTATTGTTCTGACAGATGTCTTCAGGGGTATAGCCAAGTGCACAATACAGTCAGGCTCAACTGTCCTCTTTTGGAATGATCTTTGGAATGAGGAATTCAAATGCACAAGCTTCCCACATTTGTACAATGTGGCCAAGTATAAGGAAGATTCGGTCAAGGATATGTGTTCTAGGCAATTGGAAGATTCTTTCTTACTCCCCCTATCGCCTGAGGCATATGCTGAGTTCCTACAGCTGGAAGAAAACTTGGATAGCTTAAAAATCCAATCTGGAAGAGGTGACATCTGGAGCTTTATATGGAACTCTGATGTTTACACACCAAAGAGGTTTTACAAACCAAACTTCACTGCTTTGCAACCCCCCAGACCTCTCTTGTGGCTATGGAAGACAAAGTGTGTCATGAAGATAAAAGTTTTTGCATGGCTCTTGTTCTGCGATAGACTCAACACATGTGATATGTTGGACAGACGGCACTGCGCCAAAGAAGATGATGATCTTACATGTGTCTTGTGTGATACTGGCCAGAGAGAGACAAGACTACATCTTTTTTTCACATGACCATTTAGTGCAACTTGTTGGCAACACCTAGGGATCCAATAGAACCGAAATTTGGAATTTTTTTCAGATGGTGGTCCTGGCAAGATTTCGGTTTGTACATCGGGGATTTCTGGAGATCTTCTTCTTGGCTGCATGGCATATCTGGAAGCAAAGGAATGGACTTATCTTTGAATATACTCAGCCCACCTTCCAATCATGGAGATTGCTCTTCAAAAAAGTTCTTCTGCATATGTGCAAAATGAAAGATCCTCTCAAACAACTAGTTTCCGATTGGATACAAACTATATAGGAATCCTGTTTTTCTTTCACTTTTGTTCTTTTCCCTGTAACTTTGTAAATATTCTCTTTCATTTTAAAATTAAACTGCTAGGCAAAGCCCTGGCAGTATTCCTGGATTTTTAATGAATAATAAATTTTCAAGAAATATCTTAAAATAAATTTATAATATTTAATAATTTTATTATATTGTATTTTTAAATATAATAAATCTATGTATAACATTTTTATTTTTTTTAAACTAAACAATATATGGGAATAAAGTTTGACCTAATCATCCTAAATGCCAACTATTTATTACTGGGATGAATACCTTTTTCATTTCCTTTTTATATATAAAAAATAGGTTTAACAAAAAAAAAATAGGCCTTGTGAAGCACATGTTGGGCTTCAAGTGCTATGAGCCCAATCGAAAAGGTCAATACAGTTTGAATTAGAAGCTTGCAACTTTTGTTCTTGTGAGATTGGGTCAGTTTCTGTTCAGAAGTCGGCCCAACACAGCCCAAGAAAGGCAATGCAAATTTGCAATGTAAATCTAGAAATAGGTCTTTTTGGCAAAATTAGTTCTATAGCATCGAAAGTTCTTGTTTTCGTTTTTATAGCATTGAAAGTTTGTGGTTCACTTTAATAGTATATCTCCGCTACTTCTTTTAGCACTCCGTTAGAACTTCCGTCACTTATTCCCCCTGCCCCTACGTCTTCTTCATCCTCCATGGCACAGCGGTAGGCGAGGTGTAGGATGGTGTAGTCGATGAACTCGGCAGCGGCAGACGGCATGGTCTATTGTGGCTGCGGGAGCGAACTCGAGGGTTGCTGCAGGGGCATGTTGGAGGGCGACAGTAGTGGTGCTCAATCTCAGGGAGAAAGAGACGAGGGCGGAACCATGGTCCGTGGAGGCGAGATGGCCTGGAGCCCTGGAGCACGGAGCTGTTAGATTGAGCATGCCAAGCTGGTGGCCTTCCTCGCACACTAACATCTAGCGTGGAGGAAAAAGGCTGTGCTTCCGACCACGGTCGATTCAAATGATCCAGTGAGAGAATCACCGGGGGGAGAGAATCCCCACCTGAATATATTAAGAAAATAGGTAATTTTTGAGAATCTCCTTGCGTAATACATAATGAAACACTATACTCTCAGGGGTAATTTATCGATTCGTCGAGCGAATTTACTCTGTTGATAGTGCACCTCTGTCAGAAAAAAAATATAAAAATAAGGATAGAAATAAAAGGACAGGTAGCTGGAGTAGCTCAGATGGTTAGAGCGTGTGGCTGTTAACCACAAGGTCGAAGGTTCAAGCCCTTCCTCTAGCGATATTTTTTTAAATTTTTTTTAGACTTTTCTGCTTTGCTGTTTGAACAATTTGTGTGAGAGAATTTGACCATTTGTTGCATTGCTGTTTGAACAATTTATATATGTGATAATTTCAACAATTTCTGCTTTGTTGATATTTTTTATAATTTTTTTAGACTTTTCTGCTTTGCTGTTTGAACTTTTCTGCTTTGCTGTTTGAACAATTTGTGTGTGAGAGAATTTGACCATTTGTTGCATTGCTGTGTGTGAGAGAATTTGACCATTTGTTGCATTGCTGTTTGAACAATTTATATATGTGAGAATTTCAACAATTTCTACTTTGTTGTTTGAACAATTTATTTTCCGATTTGCTGTTTGAACAATTTTTTTGTGTGAGAATTTCAACAGTTAGTATGCGTGACATGTTTTAAATGTGTTAGTAGCTTTGTACTCTCAGCAAGAGGAAGAACAATCAGCCATCTTATACATCACAGAAACTTAGCATATGATCCATAATCTGCACATTAATTTGTACACCTACATCGAAATCATCCATCCATCCATCAATAACAATCCCCATATTACAACAACTGCAAATTCGCATCCAAATCCCACAAAAATTCACAACAACAACAACATCCAAAAATTCATTAATTGCACCATCACCATCGTCGTCACCATGATCAGGAGATGGAGTGGCGGCGGCGGCGCTGGAAGAGGACCTTGGCGTCGGCGGTGGCCTTGGCGCCGAGCTGCTGGAGGCCCGGCTCGGCGGCGGCGCCCCGGAAGTGGAAGAGCGAGCCGAGTCGCCGCGCGAGGCCGCGGAGGAGGCGGTTCGCCGGGCCGACGCGCACCAGCTCCCGCCGCATGCTCACCTGGTCCTTCTCCAGGTCCGTCAGCCGCATCCGCATCCGCGCCACCTCCAGCTTCAGCTCCCGGTTCTCCCGCCGCACCGACGCGTAGCTGTCCCGCGGCGACATCGCCCCGCTACCCACCCCGCTCCCCGACCGCGGCGCCGCGGCGGCGGCGGCGCACCCGAAGAAGAGCGCCGCGTCGTGCGCGCCGCCGATGCTGGTGTTAGTGGTTGTGGTGGTGGTGCCGGTGGCCTGGATCGCGCTGCGGAGGCGGAGCTGCTCGAAGTAGAGCACCTGCACGGCCATCTGCACGGGGAGGCGCTCGTTCTGCGCCGCGTGGCTGCACGCGTCCGGGGTCAGGCGCTGGCAGTCGATCGCCTTGCACATCCTGTACCTCTCCGCTTCCTTGATGTTCGGGTGCACCTGCTCGATCAAAATCATCGAGAGTTAGTCGTATCGGAGAAGAAGATTGCAATGTCGCTTGCTTGCTTGCTTGCCTTGAGGAAGATGTCGACGGCGCGGTAGAGGCCGTCGGTGACGAGGCGGGCGTGGTCGGGGAGGAGCTCGGCGAGGGAGATGAACTTGGAGGGGAGGAGGTTGGAGTCGAGGGCGATCTCGGCGAGGTAGCTGTCGAGCAGCTTCGACGCCTTCACGAGGAGGCTCTGCTTGGGGGACCTCGGGCTGTCGTAGTCGAACGCGCCGCACCCGCCGCCGACGACGACGGCGTCCTCGTCGTTGCTGTCGTCGTCGAGGTTGAGGAACACCGCGAAGATCCTCGCCACCACGTCCGTGTCGTACAGCGTGTGCTCCACCGCCGCCGCCGCCGCCGCGGCGGAGACGGGCCCGGCGGCGACGAGGATGTCCTCCAGGATGGCCTGGTCGAGCTGCATCCCGATCCGCTTCTCCAGGTCGGCCCTGCAGATGCTCGACGCCGACGCCGCCATCGCCGTCTTGAGGAGCCCCGACAGGAAGGCCATCGGCACGGGGCTCTTCTTCGACTGCGCCGGGAGCAACCCCACGATGGTCTCCACCACGGCGCGCTGCTTCTTGACGGCGTCGGTGTCGCCGCCGCCGCCGCCGCATTTGGCGGCGGCCGCGATGTCCCTCGCCATGAGCCCGTGGAGCGAGTTCTGGGCGTAGTTTATGAGGATGCGGGTGACCGTCTCCTGCTTGAGCCCCTTGGACTTGACGGCGGAGAGCAGCCGCTGGAAGAAGTCGAGCCCGAGGCCGGCGACTGACTTGCCCCACCAGTCCCCCGGCGAGTCGAGGTCGCCGGCGGCGGCGGCGGCCACCACCACCGCCTGCGGCGGCGGCGGCGGCTTGAGCTGGTCCAGCTTGGACAGCCCGGAGGTGAGCTGCTCCTTGCAGACGTTGTTGGCGATGGCGGCGATGAGGCGCGGGACGAGGTTGACGTCCTCGGCGGCCGGGAGCAGCGCCTCGCAGCTGCGGAGCACGGCGACGGAGCCGGCGATGCTGGGGAGCACGGCGTCGCGGAGGAACGCCTCGGCGCGGAGCTCCAGGTTCTTGTCGGAGAAGTCCTCCGTCATCTGCAGGTAGTGCGCGGCGCACCGGAGCATGGCGACGTTGCCCACCGTGACGTCCACGCCCACGCCGTAGCAGAACTTGGCGGCGAGCTCGAACGCCGCCGCGCCGCCCGGCGTGCCGTGGAGCCCGAGGCGCGCCAGCTTGCCGTCCTTGGCCTCGGCCACCGCCCGCCGGATCTTGCCGCTCCGGGACACCAGCGGGAACTGCGCGAGCAGCTATGCCGTCGCCATTAGCACACCATTCTTAATCTCGATTTCTTCGTGCAACCAACAAGAAGAAGAAGAAGATGAACCTGCTCTTACCTTGTGCAGGGCGAAGCTGGACGTGCCGACCTCGACGGTGAGGTCGCTGGAGACGTCGGTCGGAGGCCTGCATGCAAGAACAAGACGGCCACCATCCATGTCACAATTTAGCATGCAAAATCATCCATAATTCATCTGATTGTCATGCAAAATCTTCCATAATTCATGGACAGGTGACATGAACAATGATCAAAACAATGGCGTACTCACCATTCATTGGCATGGCGGCTGGTGAGGGTTGGTCTTAATGCCCTCTTCCCGGAGAAGCTCTGCCTCAGCTCTGTCACCGTCGCCACGCCCATCTCTCTCTCTCTCTCTCTCTCTCTCTCTCTCCCTCTCTCTCTCCACAAATCACAATGGAGTACTAACAGTAAGTGTGATCAGTGCAAAAGGATGGCTTGTTTGGTTGTCTCCTAGTTCAGCTGCAAGCGTGTGCTAAGCTTCTTCTGTGCTTTGCAGACTTGCAGTTGGGTGTCAAGAAACTTGTAGGGAGAGAGTAGAGAGAGAGAGAGAGAGAGAGAGAGAGAGAGAGAGAGAGGTGAAGTGAAGAGAAAGGTCTTAAATCTTATAATTAGGATTTAAGGGCTAACTGGCGAGTGTGCGGTGTGGGAGTGCGTGCGTAAAGCTAGAGCTACATGCATGCATTACAACTATACAAGCTGTGACTCTGCATGAGTGAGTATCTGAAATTCTGAATATCTGATGGGCTAAGCTAGCTCTGTTCAAAAGTTGCTACTAGTAGTAGTAGTAGTAGTAGTACAAAATAACAAAAACACTGCTGCTATTGCAATTTGCATAGTCATTTTGGCTATCTTGATGATGATGATGATGGTGAGGGCACACAAGCTGCTGCTGCAGAGTCATTTTGGCTAGGAAGGATTGATGAGCCATGAGTTACAATCTGAAAAAAGGAGTTGGGGGGGGGGGGGGGGGGAGTGCGCATCATGTAGGCTTTCCTGCAGTTGCTTCTTGTCTCTCCTAATGACCACTCTGATGATGCAGGGTAAGAACTGCCGGGAGGGAAAATGGTTAGCTCCAATCATGCCGATTCATGCCAAATGTGTCATGGAAAAAGATTAATCATATATATATATATATATATGGATCAAAGTGGCACAGGAACAATGAACAGGGAAAAATACAGGGAATGTTGCCAAATTCCATCGCCTAAATTGCTGTTTCTGTCGAGTGCCGTCACTACTCCATCAGGACGTGACAGCAGCTAGGTATCAATTATAAGCTCTAGAGTTGCAAATAATAAGAGCAATTATCCCTCAAGTGATAAAACGGTTTTTCTTCTAATAATGTCTCCTTTGGAACACAGGAGTTTTATAGGAACTGAACTATTCTCACATCTGAGCTTAATGTACGGTTTTACACTCGGTCATTTCCATGAGTAGAACATTAATCAGCTTCAATTAATAAACTGAGTGTAAAACTCCAGAAATGCTTATCGTCGATCGACCTTGTTATTCTTGCTAACCTCAAGCGGCATTTTGTGATGAACAATGTGATGCTCTTGTTGTCACCTTATCTCAGCATGGTTGAATCTAAACTTTGGTCTGATATCTCATCATACCGCTGGCCTCAAGATTATCTCCCAATTTTGAAGTATGTGTGTGGGGATCCCAGGGCGAACAAACTTTCTGCCATAAAAATTTGCACGGGCAATGGCTTTCTGTTATTCTTCTGGTCTAAAAGCTGCCCCCTGCTGGTTGAATTGGTGCCATGTGAGGTGCAAATCATTTGTGGCACTGACTCTGTATAAGATATGGTTCACAATGTTTATATCTTAAATTACCATGTGGAGTACTCCAAAGCAGGCTTATCATCAGCAGGGTAGTTTGCATAATGCACATTAAGTCATGAGAAATGTTAATTTTAAGGCAAATCTTGATGTGCTATTCTTTTGCTTGTTGAGTTTTGTAGTCTTAAAGTTTTGTAATTTCCTTTTGCTACCAACAGAGGATCTTGATTCCATATTGAGAATAGCCTGCTACAAAGTGAAGGGGAATAATTGTATTTAATATACTTGATTGATATCTTAGTTTCTTTTGAGATGAGACTACTAGTATCTTAAATTATGTTTGATCATAAAACAAAACAACAAAGATTGATATCTTAGTTGTTGCATGCAATTACTCGCTGGATTCCCGTGGACCAGCATTGGCGTTTAACAAGAAAGTGAAAATTCCATGATGGTGCATGACTAAGCCCTGGGTTTTTTATAAGCCAAAAGGAGGATCAAAAGAGGGGGCTTAAGGCAAAAGAGAAGCAAAGGCAAAGGCCAAGGCTTAGTTAAACAAAAGGGTAGGTATTCTTTGGCACCCAAATTGCCTGGAAAGCTTAGCATGCCAGCATATGCATTAGCTCCTCTCTGTCATGTGGGCCATGCAACCTAATTAAATTGCCAATCTATATACTCTATGTAGTAGGTTGTCACCAACCGGTTTATTTTAATAAACTACCTAATGGCTATATTGGCTAAGTACATTTCTTTAGTGTGTGAGTGTAAAGCATTTTGTCAGAGTCAGACTGGAAATCATAAGGAGGGTGGCAAAGAGCAGAAGAATCTTGTTGTTATTTGAAAAAATGACAGAGCCGACACTGAAGCTTGCTTGCTCCCATTCGATTGTGTTCAGCCTTTCTTCTTCAGAAATAGAGACTATTATTATTATCCTCATCCTAATGCTACTCTTTGCACTGTTAAGTAGGAGTATTACTAAACAAGCTAGGACACACATGCAGGTATCATGAAAAGCAGCACTGCTAGTACTGCAGTTAAATATACACTCACTAGCTTAAAGTTTACTGAATTCTAAGATGATCTCTCTCGTTGTTTCAAGTACTGGCTCGTAGTATAACTTTGATGCTTGATCACATTCGTAGGCTATCAATCATTGAGTAGCAGAATTTCACTTTGTGAACAGCAACCTCCACTAACCATTCTCTCTCTCTATTTTTTTTAGTAAAAAAGAACTTTTACACAAATCATCCTTCACATTTTGTTCCCTCTCTCCATTTATTTTCTCTCTGATCGATCGAGCTTTGAGCTTCAGGCGTTTATTGCCAGACACAGACAACGTTTGAGTTCCCCCAAATGCCGGACTGCTCCCCATGACCAGCAATGCAGGGATATATAGCAACTTGTCCGGGAGAAGATTTCAGAGCTAATCTGAAACGACCTGACGTGAGAGAGAGGACGAACGGAACACATGACGAACACGCGAGAGAGGGAGAAAACCTGCGTCTCGCCACTGGCGCATCGATGGGGACTGCGACTCTCTCGCTTGGAATCATTAGGCGTTAGCGGGTTAGCGTAGGCCACAGGCGCCAATTGGTCATGTACTCCTATGCAGTACTATGCTCATGGTCATGGCAGGCCGAAAGGAAGGCGTCTCATCATCATCACCATCTTTAATTTGCTTAGACTCATCACTGAACTACTCGATCTCTTTTGGCTAAACCTATCATGCATTGTTCGTGATCAAAGCTAGTTAGTTAATTAGTTAATCTGATCACTAGAGATGATCGATCTGTACATGTGTGTACAACCGCTGCCTGATTCGCTACGCGGACAAAAGTACTCCCTCCATTTCAAAATATTTAACACTGTTGATTTTTTAAGTACGTGTTTGACCATTCGTTTTATTCAAAAAATTTAAGTAATTATTTATTCTTTTCATATCATTTGATTCATGGTTAAATATACTTTTATGTGCACATATAGTTTTACATATTTCATATTTTTTTAATAAGATGAACGGTCAAACGTGTGCTAAAAATTCAACGGTGTCAAATATTTTGAAATGGAGGGAGTATTATTTACTACTTGATGATGATGATCTGTGCTGCTGGGTACGTAGTAGGAGTACGCATTTACGCAATGCGGTTGCCGGCGGAAAGGGGCGCAGTCGGCCGCGCGAGCTGCAGTGCACCGCATTGCTTGATGGAGCAAAAAAGGGCACGGCGGTTCGGCGCTTTGGGGGCTCTTTTTATAATCTCCCCGGAGCTAAGCTAAGAGAGAGGCTAATAATCGTCGCCGGCGCCGCCCGGCTGTGCTTGTGCATGCACATGAACGAATGATATGATGCAACTTTTGGCCAGCACAAGCCTTTGGAAATTGGAGTTTGGAACGTGGGGGATTTACATATCCTCTGGTTTCCATGAAAACTCAACTGATTTTTCTGTAAATCCCCATGTATGAATTTTCGGTTAAAAGTGATTTGTTTAGGGATGTCAAACGAGCTCGACGTAAAGTTGAGGGATAATAAGGCCCTCTTTGTTTGGGCTTAGGCTTATTAGCTTAGACTTTTAAGTCAGTTTATTGGCTTATATGATTTATAAGCCGGTGGATTTAATGTTCTAAGTTTAATGGTGGAGTCATGCATCTATCTCACATAAGCCAAAAAAGCTTCTCCAACCTAGCTTTTGGCTTAATAGTGTTAGAGTGGCTTATGGCTTAAAAAAACCAAACAAAAAAGCTGTTTGTTTGTTTAGGTTTATACTTTTTGACTTATAAGTTGGCTTATAAGTCTAAACAAAGAGGGCCTAAGTGGACTTATTCCAAAAGTAAAATATACTGGTCCAAATCGGCCCAAACCCAGGGAGAAATTGCACCATAGCCCACAGGGCCCAACATCCTCGCCGGTCGCCGCCACTCTCGTCCCTCTCCCTTCCCCGAGCGCCGCCGCCTCCCTCGCTTCCAGCTCCGAAAGCGCCTTCCCCCCAAGCCCAGCGGCGTCGCTGCCTCCCTCCTCGGCGATCGCCGCCTCCATTTCTCGCGCTCGAGGTCCGCCTCCTTTGCGCCGGCGGCTTGCTGGCTGGTTGCTTCCCCGCCGCGTGCCTCGGAGGGGACCGGCCGTTTCTTGTTGCCCTCCTTGCTTGCTTGCTTGCTTCCTCCCCCTCGTCGCCGCTCACTCCGCAGCGGGGGTCCCCGCCATATGTAAGCAGCATCTCGACGATCTTGTGTCGCGTAGCCTCTAAACCTGTGTGATTTACAAGGATTAGGGCGTCGAATTAGACTTCCCCGTGTAGGTGTGCATCAGAGCTGTTCGACGTAATGCCCGTGCCGCATGGCGATGGTTAGTGGCGCGCTTCCTTCCATGATTGCCATGTGTATTGCCGTATTGGCGTTGAATGAGCGAGGCTTATTAATAGTCCACATCATTTTGATTGCTATGTATACTATTGTTTCTGTTGTGTGTCCGAAAGAATAATCTGGTCTTCTGCTGCAGACTGCCGCATCTGTTTTTGGATCTGGTGGATGTTTGGAATTACTAACGTCGAGTAAAGCCATGCGAGGAAAGCTTTGGACAAGACTTGCCCCTTTCATATCCAAGCGTCATGCTTCAACCTCTCAGACCTCATTATCTTCATCTTCTTCGTCATGCTCCGTGATAAATCCATGGCTCTTTGTTGGTCTCGGCAACCCTGGTGAGAAGTATCAATGCACCAGACACAATGTAAGCTTTGCATCTCATTCTTGTCTTGGTCATTTATTTTCAGAATCCTATGACACCCTTTTTCGCTGCAGGTTGGGTTTGATATGATAGACATGTTTGCACAGTCTCAGGGTATATCTCTAACCAGGCATCCCTTCAAGGCACTATTTGGGGAAGGTCTGGTTCATTACATCTGATCCCATAGAGAATGTATTTTTATATTTTGAGCAATATATACTCTGTTCTCTCGGTTGAAAGGGCTGAATTGAAACTGTTGTCTTGTCTTTCCATTGATGCAGGAATGGTCGAAGGTGTACCTGTTTTGCTTGCTAAGCCTCAAACATATATGAATCTCAGTGGTGAATCTGTAAGCATCACTTTTAGAAGTCTTTCCATGTTTTAGTATCTGATTTCTACTATTCCTTACTATCTTGGAATAAGTCTATTTCGTGTCAACTCTTGGCATGGTTTAATTTTTGTCCCTGAACTCTAAAACCCAACCGTTCTGGTTCATGGTTTATTGCCACTACTTATCTTCCAACAGTTCTGTCTCCTCTTCAAGCCCTCAACAAAATCAATTATGTTTTTGATGAATGCATGAATGTTTCTTATGGTGCTAATTGAATCACAATGATTTGCTAAGAACCATTTCCCCCTAAAATCAATTATGTCTGAGCTTTATTTTGGTTGGTGCAACCAAAATCCTATCAGCAATCAGATATTTTAGTTGCTATGATTTGAACTTGAAATCTCAATACAGAATAAAATACATACCAATGTCTGTTTTGGTTAGTTCTGTGTCTTATTTATAGAAAGGTCGTGTATAATTCAGCTTGTAGAAATTTCTTTAACTGGAAATAAAAAAATGGTTATAATACACTGAGCCTGATCTGATGACTATTGGTGATAAGTCCCTTTTTGGCCTATTGCAGGTTGGGCCACTTGCTGCCTATTATAAATTACCACTTAATCGCGTCCTTGTGGTTAGTATTGTAATATCTAATCTTTATGAGCGCTAAGTTACATGGCAATCTGATTTCTCTATTGTGAGTTTTAGGCATTTGATGACATGGACCTGCCCTGTGGAGTTCTTCGTTTACAACCTAAAGGAGGATATGGGCGCCATAATGGGTCTGTTGATTTTATAATCATGTGTTTTAATGAAGTAATTTGTTGAAATTAATTTGTCATTTAAAAGACTGACCTGATAAGCAACTTTCTGACAACCTCATCAGGAAGAGACAACATATTGTTCCCTTCTAATATTTTTACTTAATAAATTTTTCTCGTTTGTAGTGGCAATTTCTGCATGCACCTTTCCATTTTCCCCATATGGACATGTTCTTTTTTTTTCCCTTTTACATAGCCTGAGACAGCCATAGTTCTCTTGAAAGGTCTACCAGATATAATGACACTCTTATTAGTGTTCTCTTATTTTACTCATTTATTTTACTATTAGCTATATGATCCTATTTTCTGTTTGTAAATAAGTTTTTTTTTTACATTGACAAAATATTTACCTTTCTAGCTTATCAGGGTGAAGAGCTTGATATACCATTTTCGTAAGAACCGAGAATTTGGTCGATTAAGGATTGGTAGGTTCGACATCTGTGTTCATTTCCCTCCCTTAATGTGGATAAATATTCTTATACTTTAACTTATTCAGGAATTGGACGGCCACCTGGCCAAATGGACCCCAAAGCTTTTGTGCTCCAGAAGTTTAATAAGACCGGTCGAGAACGGGTAAATATCTATATGGCTAGTACTTGTTAGCGTCATGCCCTTTTCTGAGTTTTTGTACAGTAACCATTGGATGATTTACTTTCATAATTCTCACCGGATGATCGTGCTCATTTGCTGGGATATATCCATATGACCAAAACCATGGCTATATTCTGCATGGAAGTGAGCCGCACCTAGATTTATTCTACTTCAGTTAAATCTGAATAAATTTTGTTGTGCTATACGCAAATGAGAGATGATTTATAGGCTTGCAACATGTCTATGTTTAGAAGATTACCTTCTGGTCAACTTCCATGTGGTGTGCCAAGCCAATCCTGTGAAGTTTACAGCCCTTGAGATCTCTTAAATCTCAAATTGTTTTAGGTAATAATGTCACCATGTCCTCAAAATTGAACTGCTGGGGTTCCTGAAGGTACTTGGAGGACTTGTTATGACAATCTCTGTCACTCATTAGCGTTTTTTTCCATGGAATCATTCTGGTACATCATATTTCTGGAAGCACCATATTTGACATAATTATTTCACTGTCACAGTTTTTATTATTCTGTATGTAGCGACCCTGAAGAATTGTGCTGTGACAGGTAGTCTTACGCTTTGCATGTTTTGTTTTATCCTAGATTGATTCAGCCATAGAAGAGGGTGTTGAGATTCTTAAGTTGGTTGTTACCAAGGGTTTGACAGAGGCTGCAAGATCATCAAATGTGGATCAGAAGTATAAGCATCTGACAACACACGACATGCAACTGTAAAGATGATGACAGACGCTGCTTGTCCGAGAGCGATCCACTATTACCTGTTGAATGCCTGATGGGAGAACCTGGTAACATCTAAACTGCTTGATTCATTGATTTGCCAAACTTATTACAAGGGCTGTCAGCCGTCTCCTTTGCATTGGATTTGTAAGTTTTGATGCTCTCAATCTTTTTTTTTTATACTTTTGAACAACTGATTCAATAAATAAAAACTTGACGGTTCTGTCAGCTTCAAGATTCTATCTACCATGCGCTTTAAAGATAAAGCTGATCATTTTTCTTTAAAAGAAGATGGATATCCATTTTACGCCCGTATTCAGACCTATTACTTATACAAGGTGCTAAAACTCTTCAGCTTCTACCCCATGGACTGAATGGACGGAGCCGAAGAAACAGCAAAAGTACACGGAAGAGGATCCTCTAACTTACTTCCCTCTGACTTTGAGTCATTGACATGTGTACCCGATAGGTAAAGAGCCCACATATCAATGACACAAGTTAGAGGAAAATAAGTTAGAGGATTTTAATCCAAAGCACACAAGAGTAAGTAGTACTTTCCGTAATACCATACGTTCTCTGAACAAGCTGGTAATATTAGGAAAACCACATGAGCACTGAGCACACATATACATGCGCCAAGCAGCCCTAGATTATTAACTAATTTTATTTGCTCTTCAGTCCAAACTCAGCGTCGAAAATTGCAATTTGATGAACAGTGATGTATTCAACGAAATGACACTTACTGTGAAAACAGAGATGAACACAGATTTTTGTGCTGCCTCAACAAGCGCATCTTTTCTGATCCATTTGAACTGAAATATAGGGAGAATTACACAAGTCATGGCAAACAGTTTGCCACGCACGACAACAAAACACCCCAGCAAACTGCAAGCACAAACACTTTTTTTTTCTTTTTTCTTTTTTGCGAGGACACAAACACCTAATTATATGCGTGCACACAATTATTCAACACTCACAAAGAATTAAAGACGTTGCATGATGACAAGATCATCTAGGCATCTCATGTTTACTATAGGAATTCACTGCTGGCACATGGAGTGTAGTATAATATCTAGATTATGGGGATAGGCTTGACGAACAGCTGCTTGATGATATTCATGCTGAGCTTGTTGAAGGTGTAGGCGTCTTCGCTGCCTTGGTAGAAGAACATTATGCTCATCGCTAAGTTGGCGACTCGGTTCACAGCCGGCACAAGCGAGGAACGCTCAAAGCGTGCTTGATTGATAGTTTTCCATGCGTCTTCGACCAGATTACTTATCACAGCCGTGGCTTCCTCACCAGTGACATTGTGCTCCTTCATGTAGGACTCAACAGAGGTGGCCATATCTAGTTTGCCCTTCCCGTGCTGTGACCAACAAACACTTAATTAGTTACTCCCTCCATTTGAACTGACTAATAATGTCAAATAAAAAAAAACGAAGGTACTCAGTTCAAATGGAGTAGTATTTTATAGAGGATTATATTATATCCCATGCACATGTCAAAATAACATAAAAGATTTTGCTAAAATAAAAGGACACCGACAGAGGATAACATTAATGAATTTGCTGCAGCTTTGCTCATGGAATAGTATAAACACCTTGAATGCAGCCAAGTCATCCTGGAAGCGTCCAATTTCGCCACAAGCCTTGACAGCATCGGTGCAACCAAAGGCCCATTCAAGGGCTTCTTTTGTTGCTAAATCACCGGCACTAACAAATGACACAACAGATAGCATTGAAGAGCCCGAGGAGATGATGGACACATCCAAATGTTCTTGAAAGCTTGGTATGTAATTCTGATGAAACCATACAGCTTCCTGGAGGTAAGACTTGCATAACCTTTGATACTGCAGGTGAGAAGGAAAAACAAATCTTGATGAATGATAATAAAAATTAATGCGACACCTTGATCCAAGCCGAATATATAATATGCTATGTTTGTTAGTGGTTTTTTAGCTCCAATTATTTCAACGGCCACTAAGTGAACAAGGAAAATCCACTTCATTGGATTAATTAGCATTCAAGTACTTGAACATTCAACCGATTTATATTTTTTTTGTCAGCTCAAGAAAAGCTAAATGTTTGAGACTCTGCTAAGTGTATCTTGAGCAACATGGTCAAGTGGAGCAGATAAGTCACTCATTTTTGGCTTACACCATGGAGTCACACCCAGGAAAGGGGGTGGACCCTACACTACGGATATCGTGTTGTAAGAACCCCTTGTCATCTCGTTAAGGGCCAAGTGGCATTCTCACATATAGAAGATTGGTGGATGTTTGTCACCACATCACCCTTGGGAGCGATGCGCAGGCTGCAGAGCCCATCCATCGCATTAACTATAGATTCCTTCAAGTTGCCTCTCAGCAATGCTAAGCGATACGGTGTATTCAAGACGACCAAGCCTCTCTTGGAAAATGGTTTTTAAAGACTGTAGTTGGACTCGACGTGGAGCCCCATGAGATATTTATTGTTACAATAGATCATACGAGGAGTTAGCTACTTAGCTCAGGCTTATGATTGTATAATAGGATTTTTGTCTCTCGTAGTCGTAGGAGAGAGAGCCGATAGCCGTAGGGTATAAAAAACACATCTTTAGATCCTATAGAGGGGTGAAATGCATGATATGGGCAAGAAACCTAGTTTCCTACTATCTCAAGAGCTCCTAATTATAACTTTTACGAATTTGCTTGATAGTGATGAAGAACAAGACTAGGGTCATTATCCTTTGGGAGGCCCAAACCTGTATTGGTGATCATGTCTTTCTCGCTCCCGGGCACACTCGGACATGCTGTTTAGCCTATTTGCACTGAGAGCTCCTAGTTGATCCCAAATACATGTTTTCTCTTGTCTGCCGATGCTCGGACGTCTACACTTTTTTTTTCTTTCTCTCCCTTCAAATCCAAATATAGCGGAAAGTACTGGTCCTTGGGCTTCCGTTAGCTTTCATTCAACATGTTTTGTACCACCAAAAATTCGAAGATAATTCTCACAATTAGACATTACTAATAGCTTTGGTAAAATTGGTTTGATTTCAACAACTAAAATTTGGCACGTCAAATAAATCAGTCAAAACAGTCAAATTTGAAAATTAATTAAAACCTAATTGGGGTGCATCAAACTCTACGGAAGTATGCACGTTAAATAATTTATTCAAATATTAGTTTATTTACGGTGGATTAATGTAAATTTTTCATAACTTTGTCCATCAATATAACCCCTTTAAAAATTAAAGCAAGTTTTAACCAGTCCTCTTTTATGTAAATTTCTGGAAGCAAGTCAATTCAATTCAAATTTCACATTTTCACTTTGACAAATGGAAACTATAGGTACTCTGTGGATGCAGAGGCGTATCCAGAATTTTATTTTAGGGTGGTCCAATTTGATATTTAGTTTTTTGAATTACCCATTTCATGTTTCCAACTCTTAATTCTTCATTGCTTATAAATTTTTATTCAATTGTACAAATATAATTCCTCAGTTGTTTAATAAATAGACCTTGGGCCAAGGAATATTTGGGTGGTCCCCTCATCCACCCCTTGGATACGCCAATGTGTAGATATCACACCACAATGCCCATGCCTTGGAAACTTATATAGGTTGGTCTATTCAAATTCAAATGAGAGGGAAGAAGTATTTGGCCCTGTTTAGATCCCACACAAAAATTTTACACCCTGTCACATCGAACGTTTGAACACCTGCATGAAGTATTAAATATAGGCTAAAAAATAACTAATTGCACAGATTGCGACTAATTTGCGAGACAAATCTTTTGAGCCTAATTGCTTCATGATTTGACAATGTGGTGCTACAGTGAATATTTGCTAATGACGGATTAATTAGGCTTAATAAATCCGTCTCATGGTTTACTAATGTATTCTGTAATTAGTTTTTTTATTAGTGCCCAAACACTCCATGCGACATCCTATATAATATCCTATATGACACGTCTGAACTTTACACCCCTTTGTATGAAATCATGAAATAGTCGCAATGTTTTATGCACCTAGGTTTCTACTCTCTCCTCACTATGTTTGGTGGGTCCCACACCTCCTGGACCCCATTGGACACACATGTGGATAGAAAAATTAGGGCTTTAGACTTTTGCTTTGTCATCTAGAGTTTATGCTGTGAGATTAGAGAGAATTGCTTTTATAATTCAGCTTGATTTTATTGATTTGATTTCTTTAAATTTGTTCCAGAACAATATACAAAAAGAGTTATCCATTTTTTGTCCTTTTCTTTTTCGGTGAAATTTCAATTGTACAAGATTTTTTTTTCTACCACTACCATTCATCCTACCTTTGGTTGGCTCTTGCTATGTTTCAATCCTACATTATACATAGTGAGTGTTCTTCAACTTTTTGCCTATGATTTTGTGCCTGTTATACTTTTGTTGGCTCGATCACGATCACACATAGCAAGTGTCCATATGACTCTGTTTGCATTAACGAGGATGACATACATATGGAGTAAAAAGGATTGATGAGTACTAGTATTGTACCGCTTTTACAGCATAAGTAATGTAGTACTTCTCCTCTGATTTCAGTTCATCCTCAATCTCTTTGAAGGTACTCATTAGCTTGGCATAGTAATTCTTCAAGTACTCCGGCAAAACAGAAATGGCACTCTCATCCCATCTGTGCACAACCATTTTAGTTTACATACAAGTTAATCAATTGCAAGATGGATGCGACCATATATATTATAATATCAATAGGATCGGTTCTCACAAGTAGTTTACTCATATTCTAGTGATAAAAAAGAATTATTCCCTCCGATCCATTTCTTTTCACTTCGTTAGGACATCAACACATCAATCTTTAATGCACATGTGTATCATTTTTTTAAAAATGTATTTTTCATAAAAATATTAAAAATATAATTATATGAACGTAGTTTTGTCATGAAAAAAAAACATGAGATGTCTAGAATGGTAGAACTTAAAGTAAATGGTCTTCTGGAAGGGAAAAAAATCATTAAAATTCTGTCTAGAAGAACAAAAATGAGCATGGTTTATTCCGTTAATTAAGGGATGAGGAAGAGTAAGCAAAAATACTTTCCCACCTCTGTATTGCTTCATTGAGCTTTTGGCCCTCTTCCAATATAGCATGCATATCATAAGTGTCATCTAGTAAGGTTGCTAGCACGAATATCTTGGCAAGGATGATTCGTGCTTGCGCATATTTCTGTTCGTAGTAAATTGTATAGGACCAAAAGTAGCATTCAACTATACGATCTCGAGAGTAGGTTAGTTCCACTGCACCGTATAGATTATTTCCCCACCTGAAAATAATATGGGATACTTTTAGCTTGTTGTATCTTCATAAAATGTGTGCTTTGTGCAATAAATTAAATCATAATTGTCTTTATTATTTTTTTGAACGCACAAATAGCCTTGCACATCAATATACATATTATTAGAAGGAGAGAAAATTGTACATATTTGGATCGATCATATATCTAGCTTGTGTGCATGCACAGCTTCATTTCATGGAATTGTGATGATGTGATTTGCTAAATCAATTAGTTGAACATCTGATTAATATTCCATTGCATATCTATACTATCTATATATAGTTGATATCCACTAACTCCTAAGGGCAAGTACAAAGGTAGAGACCGGTATGGTCTCTACGTTAATTAGAGGCTATCACGTTACAATAGTTAAGACAATACGGTATCTAATCATTAATATACCAAAATACTTTCTTACTAGTCATCTTTTCTTTATTAGACTCAATGCAACAAAGAGAGACCGCTAATAAAGACCATTGTACATGCCCTAAAGCACACCATACAAGTAGTCACATCGTCAACCACTATCAATTATTATCTATTATTATCTAGAGTATTTTAAAGCATATGCAAGTATGCCACATCATGACCCACTAGCAATTATTATCTAGAACATTTTAAATATCATGCAAACATGATATATCATTTACAATTTGTTGTATTTTTAGAACTTAATATGCGTCAAATTATTATCTCTACGTCATTTTCATATTATTTAAACATACACATCTATCATTTCTATAATGTATAACATGCATTTATTCACATATCCCGCTGCAAAGCGTTGGGTATCAACTAGTAAATCATACAAAGAGAAACCACGTAGAAGTCAGAATAATAGTGTGGAATTTATTTTTTGAAAGTTGGAAGGCCTTTTTATATATCCTGCACTAGTAGTACAAATCTGAGTTCACGACAACTTAAATAATGACCACATCCCCGCAACGTTATTACAAAGAATACCATACCCAACTCCGAAAATTTAATGATATTTGCCTATATACTTATGTGACAATTTGAGATGATGTCATTGACTAGTATATATTGGAAAAGAAATTAATTTATGATATTGTTAGTGATACACAAACAAAATATATCGTGGCATCCTACACTAGAAGGGATACCATCATCTTAATCAGGCGGTAAGCCCCATCTCAATCGAGCACGGCGTCCGTCACAGGCTAGAAGTCACAGATGTTCATCTGTGACGGGCAATAAATTTACCTGAGAAGAACTTCCTGATCGGTTACCCATCTTAAAATTGCTTCAGGCCAAGCACGCTTAACACCAAAGTTCTTTGGAGATCGGCTTCCGGAAAAGTAGTTGTAACTTGTTGGTATGAGTATTCTATTAATCCTATTAAGCCCTAGGCCAACATGTCAAATTGGGGTTATTAAATGATTTCAAATGGAAAAGTCACCAAAACCAAAGTTGTAGAACTCATCGAGGTGCAAAATTTTTATTTTGGTCATTTCTCCATCTGACTCTATTTAAACAATTTGAAATTTGAAATTCAGTTTGAAAAATTCAAATAGAATTTTAGATCAGTGAACGACTTCAACCGAAAACGTCATCAACAACAAACTTGTATAACTCATCAAGATCTATAACTTTTATTTTGGGTATTTTTCTATATAACATTTTTTGAACCGTTTGAATTTGAATTTGAAAATATGACAACTTCATACAATATTTTCAAATACTAAATGATATCAACTGAAAAAGTCATCAACAACAAAGTTGAATAACTCATCAAGATTTAAAACTTTTATTTTGGTCATTTCTTCATACGACAAAGTGACAGTAACATTGTTCACAAAATTAACATATCTCTTGTCTGGTTTTATAAACTATAACACATATATGTAAAATTTGTGAATAATATTGCTAACATTTTATCGGATGAAGAAATAACAAAAATAAAAGTTCTAGATCTTGATGAGTTATTCAACTTTGTTGTTGATGACTTTTTCAATTGAAATCATTTAGTATTTGAAAATGTTGTTTGAAGTTGTCATATTTTCAAATTCAAATTCAAACTGTTCAAAAAATGTTATATAGAAAAATGACCAAACTAAAAGTTGTAAATCTTGATAAGTTATACAACATTGTTGTTGACATTTTTTCCATTTGAAATCATTTACTACCCGTAAAATTATTTTGACTCATGAAATAAATTATTATTTTGCACTTAATTATTTTGTTATAGTTCAACTTACAAATATAAACACTTCATATGAAAAATGGAAAAATACTTATCGGTGACGGGCTTTAGTTAATGCCCGATAGAGATTAAGTATATAGCCCGTCACTGATGAGTCATCTGTGACGGGCCTAGTTGTTATCTCAAACGGGCCTCAAATTGGTGCACGTCACGGATGATGGTCATCTGTGACGGACCCTAACTTGAGGCCCGTTTGAAATATGGAATGTTATCTCAATCGGGACTACAGTTGGTGCCCGTCACATGGTTATCTGTGACGGGCTGCAACTTTAGGCCCGTTTGAGAAATGAAATGTTATCTCAATCGGGCCTAAACTACGGCTTGTCACTGATAGTTGTCATCCGTGATGGGCTTAAGTTTTATGCCCATCTAACATGTCTGTATGACCATATCTCAATCGGGCACTTTTCGGCCCGATTGAGATGACTTCCTTGTGACGGCCCGCTATTTCTAGGCATATTAGAGCCCGTTATAGATAGAAGAATCTGTACTAGTGCTAGCTATATGGAAGTAGAGGGGATTAATGTGTGGCATGAAACAAGTACTTAGGAAAATTAAATATACCGAGAAAATTCCTTGAGCTCCCTCAAGTGAAGAAGTTGCAGAAGGTTAAAATCCAGCCTTGCAAGTTGGAGCACAGAGGGATTGCATGCTTGCTCTTGATTGTATTCTGCTATATAATTAAGCGCCTCTATCCTCTTCAAGGTCCGTGGTAAAGGTATTCGAAGGGCCCGTGTTACTTGTTGAGATAATGGTGACGACTTGAGATTTCTTGCTATTATTGTTTCGAGTTGATGCCTTGAGAGCAAAATAGCGTCTTCCAATTCCACCTCGCCATGAATTAATAGGTGAGCTGCATTGTATAAGCTCAACATGCCCATGGGATCATCTATTACTTCAGCGTTGAATCTCCCATCTGGGCCTTTAAACTTGTTGAACTCATCTGCAAGGAATCATGCGGGATCTTTTTATCACAAGAATACAAAATCATCGATTTCAATCCAATTCTTTTACATGTTGAAAAAAAATGACCCATTGCATCCAGCCTCTCCACTTCATGAGATACAAATTAATTTAGAGTTAATGCCAATTATATATGTTAGGTTAATTTGCAGTTTACACACATACTATACCTGGAGAAACCCATAGCCCATGCTGCCGAAGCAAACGGAATCGAAGCGCGACATCATGGAGGCTGGAGCTGTTGAATTCAGCACCATGAATGTCGCTTAAAGCAACGGCAATACGTCTCTCGAAGTGATGGTCTATTCCCAAATGTTGGAGCACATCCACAAGTTTCAATTTTTCCTCCACATCCTTGCAAGTTTCAAATAGCAAAGTTACCTCCTCCTTCAATTGATCAGCCTATCCCTCATCCATTCCTCCGACTTCTGCACACACACTGACTATTATTGACTAACACACAAGGGGATCAAATCATATGAATTTCTAGCATATTTTTTTATGAGGGAAAAGAAGTCCATTGTACTCTCCCGAACTATTTCACTAAAGTAGTTAACCCCCCTTAACTATTTTTTTATCATTTTACCTCATAATTAAACTATTAAAAATGGTTCACTTCATTTATCTCCTTTTTTTTACTCTTTATACGAGTTGTATTTTAAGCTAAAACTTTTTAGAGCCATAGATGATATCATTATCAAAGCTAAAATATTTTCAAAATGTTTCATGACTATTTGCTTGGATTTTAAATCTTGATGTTTAAATAAGTCTTAAGTGCTTCTTACCTCTCTATTAAACTGTAAGAAAAATCGAAAAAAAAGTTGAGATGTATGTTTTAATGCATCTGTCATCCTACCAGAATTTTAGTGAAAAATGTCTTATATATGTAGAGGGAAACATAAAGGAGAAATAGTGTTAAAGCGTAAAGTGAAATTTTTCAATAGTTTGGGGTGGGAAACGAGTAAAAAAATAGTTTAGAGGATTAAGTGTTCCGACGAAATAGTTTAATGGATTTTTTTTCTTCCTACAACATACTACTTAGTTAATTGTCAATCCCGACGTATGTATAATTAATCATATCCTTGGTAGGATACAGTAAATGAATATAACACGAATGGAGACTGCTGCAAATTAGGAAATATGGATGCTTAGATTAGTTCAGCCTTAATTTAAATGTGCTATATAAATTAGTCTAAGTTGCTTACCTATAATTGTCTTACAAAGTAATGTATATAGCGAAAACTAACATTGTGCGTCAACTGTGGATTCGTAGGCGGCGGGCGGCGGGTGAAAACCTTGCTCAGCCTTGGCCCGGCCGGCAACGATGGCGTTTTCGAGCTTCTCTTTCCCTCTTGAGGGCGTTGTCGTGCCGTCTCATCTTCTCCAATGGGGCTGTCGGGTGAAAACCCAATCTCGTCTCTCTTTGAGACCTTGACGGATGGCAGCGCCAGTGTTTTTGTCACTCCTCTCCATGGAGACGTCGTCAAGGCAACCCCCTTGCCAAAATCCTCCTAGACAACTGGTGCAAGCTTACTCTCTAGATGCATGTCCTCTTGTGTCGGCGCCCTAGCGTATGCTAGTTGGCCACGTCGGAGGGCCTAGGGGGGAGAGCGGTTCCATTCTTCTCTCTCACCCTCTTTCCCTCAATCCCAAAGAGGTGGCTAGAGTGAGGGTTTGGTGTCGGTTGTTAGTGTTAGGTTTTGGGAGACATCGGCTGTAGTTCCTTTGTTGGCCTAGCGGTGGCTGGTTTGATGCTAGCTTTCTCCCGGGTATGTGTGTTGGTGCTGTCGATGCGTGGGGGTGGCTATTTTTTCTTCGTTTTCCTGGTTACAACCTCCTAGGGTTGTAATCGTGTAATTTTTTCTGCTCTATCAATATGAACCTCGCACTGTCTGGTGCGTACCATTAAAAAAAGTAACATTTATATGAACTAATTCTTTCTTTAGTTTATTTCCAAAGTGAATACTATGAAAAATGTACTATATATATGATGGGGTTATGCTGTAGCATTAATAACTAGATAAAACCCTGCATACTACTGTGAGAGTTTTGTATAATAACTGTAGAAATAACATAAATACTTTACATAAATTTTATCTTTGATCGACTATTACAAAAAGCTACAAACAATCAATATGATGTGGTTTATAACAATTTCAATTATATATAAATTACTTATTCAAAAGCAAAACTAATGTGGTATGGGTCAATGAGAGAAGGAAAAGGAGGGACTTTATAAGAGAATAAAAGATGGAAGATAATTTGGACCATAGATAATCATTCAAGGGTTAGAAATAACTGAGGCGATGTGGCTTAATAAGAGAAGAGAGACTACCACTAACTACACTTAGGGCTTATTCGGATCACGGGAATGTAAAAACGTAGGAATAGAAAAATCGTAGGAATATGATAGGAATGTATGTGTAAAACGGAGGATTGGAAAACACAGGAATTCTGTAGATAGGATTGGTAAACATGTGTTTGGATAGGCAGAGGAAAAACATAGGAAATAGAAAAAATGAGGTAGGAGTGGATGGAAATTTTCCTTTGTTTCTCTATTGTTTCCACAGGAAAGGAATTTTTCCTCTGATTTTCCTTTGGGTTGATTTCTATGAACCGAATGACAGGAAAGGAAATATTTTCTATCTACAGTATTCCCTTGAAAATCCTCTAAAAATCCCTCAATCCGAAGAGGTCCTTAGTAATGGATGCTTAGATTAGTTCAGCCTTAATTTATATGTGATATATAAATTATTCTGGGTTGCTTAGTTATAATGGTCTTACAAAGCAACGTATGTAACTAAAACTAACATTTATATGAACTAAGTATTTCTTTAATCTATTTCCAAAGTGAGTACTATGAACGTACTATATATGTGTTGGGGGTTATGCTGTAGCATTAATTAAAAATACTGAAATTACATATATGTAAGAAAACTTATGTATATTAAGAGCTAGAGAATGTGTCTACATAAATTTTGTGAGTAGTACACATAAACAATAATATAAACATGCCTGTAACGGTTCTGGAGTATAGTTCACAAAGAAGTCGCCCCACACTGAGGCATCGAAAGCTTCTACCAACATGGGAGCAGCTGCACTAATGTTAGAAGCCATGTAAGATTGCAAACTCTGCTGCACACACACATTGTTAAAAACAGTTCAAACGCCTTATATAGAAACTGGACAGCGGCTCATGGGCCATGGCTGCCACAAAGTGAAAGGTCAGTTCGTGGACGTTAATTAAGATATGCATGTGTATCATTGTAATGTGCTGCAATTTTTGTTATTTCACTATTTTATTTTCTGAATCAATTAATTAAGCCTAAACAGAATACAATATCTATACTTATCTTTTTTTTTGATCGTTCTAAATTTATGCAGAACGTACCAAGCTTATTACTTGCATTTTGGACTAAAATAATAGAAGTAGTTGCATGGATTATCATCGAATTCTAAATTTAGAGGTGTAATCAGTGTAAGCTTATGCCTCATCCTGGTTGGGAAGGTTATAGTAGCTTTAGGCTGTGTTTCGATATCAGGCGTTCCCAACTCCCCCTCTCGTTTTCCGCATGCATGCTTTTCAAACTACTAAACGGTTTATTTTTTTTTTACAAAAGTTTATAAACGAAAGTTGCTTAAAAAATCATATTGATATATATATTTTTTAAAAAATTAGCTAATGCTTAATTAATCACGTGCTAATATAATGGACCGTCCTGTTTTCTATGTGCACTGTTTCGTGTTGGGAACTAGCTGGAATGAACTCAGCTTAGTCATTGGAGTTACTCCATCTGTCCCAAAATAAACGCAGCCATGAGTTTTAGTGTCCAATTTTGATTGTCGATCTTATTGAATTTTTTATGATTAATATTTTTATTGCTGTTAGATTATAAAATATGAATAGTACTTGATGCGTCACTTATGTTTTTTAGTTTTTTTAAAAAAATAAATAATACGGACGATTAAAGTTGGACACGGAAACTCATGGCTGTGCTTATTTTGGAACGGAGGGAGTACTCTATTTCTATATATAGGCCTTATCCTTTTTGTTATTGCGTTATGGTAGGGGAAAAGAGAAAAGAAAGAAGAGAATTAATATAATCTACCCTTAGCTAGTATCAGTCAGATACACAGATCCAGGGGTGATCCAACGTGGGGACGGTGGGGTCTCGATCGAGCCCCCAGTACTGGCGCGAGTACTATGAAGCCCCCATAAAGTCCCCGCTAAAATTTTTTGATATATGTAGTTGAGAATGAGGGCTGTAGCTTTTAGCTACTTTATTCAGACCCTCCTGCTATCTCTTTCTAGATCCGCCACTGCATAGATCATAACGCTTGTAATGTTCAAAAGAAAAAAAACGCTTGTTAGCTAGATGAGACATGGCACCACATTTTTAAAACACATGCGCACTTCATGCATAAAAGACACCACAGTGGTGGTTCACCTATACCCACTGTCATATAGGGCTCACATATATAGCGAATGACCTGATAATACAAAACATAAAGAAATTTGTTTGGACTATATGATAAAAAGATATACATTGATCTTTGTCCATTCTTTGTTAGAAGCAACGATCGTACTTATACTTATTAGGCACAATTTTAAGAATGAGGAATGAAAACAAAGAAATTAACTAGCCCCTTCCACTCTCCAAAATTATTTTTTTAAAAATATATTCCTGCACGCATAAAATCTCTAATCTTATTGGTTGCATGTATTATATTTATATTAGGATCATTCAAAAACAAAGTGATAATAATTATTTTCTGGTCTTTGAAATTACTAACTAGCTAGTTGTGCCTTATATTTGGGATGAAGAGAGAGTATAATAGTGTGCGAGTGTTCATAGAGATGAATGTGCACACGTTATGAGCATCTGCATTTGTATTGTGTATCTAAAAAGAAAAAAATTACTCATATATACATTGGTTTATGTCACTAGTGGAAAAAGGATCTTTGCTCCCGGTTCGTAACCCCCATGTACTCCTGCTTTTACAAGCAGGAGTACGAATCCGGGACTAAAGATGGATATCTTTAGTTCTGGGTAAAATAACCGGGACTAAAAGATGGATATATAGGGCCACGTCCTGATTGATTTTTTTCTTTTATTTTTTTATGCTTGTATATATATTCCCCCACCCAAATCCATGCAAATCGTGCACAATAAAATTATCCAAAAATCATGCACAACAAAATCAATCCTCCACAATACGTACACATCTACAATCTACAAATCAATCACAAATTCATCCTCATCAACAAAAATAAAAAAACTCCAACAAAATTAATATAGAAATCATTCACTATCGCCAGTCGCCGTCGACTGGCCACCTCCTGCCGGCGCGTGGAGGGGGAGGAGAGGGGTGAGAGGAGAGGAGGAGGAGATGGGGAAGAAGGAGAAGAAGATGGAATGAGGGGGTGAGGAGGAGAAGAGAGTAGAGATAAGGTTGGGGGAGGGGAGGATGAGGCGGGTCGCTGATTTTTTTCCCAATTGTTACAACTGGGACTAAAGATAGTGGAGGGGTCTGACACAGCTTCCCTTCTTTTAAACTGGGACTAAAAATGATCACCAACCAGGACTAAAGATAAAAATTAAAGTGACATCAGGTCTTTTAACCGGGACTAAAGATGGGACTAAAGAATAGATATTGACTAAAGATATATTCTTTAGTCCCATCTTTAGTCCCAGTTCCTATTCAAATCAGGATTATTGCTGAATTTGGACAACCGATTAAAGATGGTTTCTCCAGTAATGTGTGTTTCCATAGGCATAATACACAGAAGTAATACAAAACGGGCAAAACATGTGGGGGCCTGATCGATTCTTATCTAATGGGAAGTAGACAACTAGTATACAGTAAACCCTGACTCTTAAGCAGGCCCGATCAGTTTAGTTCTTATCCCTATGAGAAATGATCTACTATAATTGGACAACTCCGATTTCCTTGTTCTAGCTAGCCTGATCAAGTAATCAGTACATGACGCAACCATATGAAGGCCCCTTGTCGATCCGTTCCTATCTGATGGGAACTATTCGAAGCTTGATGTGTGTGTGTATGCACGGCAATACATGTGGGTAATGCAGGCCCTTATCCAAATGAGAAATTATATACTCCCTCCGTAACTAAATATTTAACGCCGTTGACATTTTTAAACATGTTTAGTCGTTCGTCTTATTCAAAAAATTTAAATAATTTTTAATTCTTTTCCTATCTTTTGATTCATTGTTAAATATACTTTTTTTATATATATAGTTTTACATATTTCACAGAAGTTTTAAATAAAACGAACGGTCAAATATATCTTTAAAAAGTCAACGGCGTTAAATATTTAGGGACGGAGAGAGTCGGTTGTACAGCTCATATTTGTTGCAGTACCTGTCACTGCATGACACCACCACTGACATCGTTATACGTGTGTATATTATTGATGCCGTGGATCGATTGGATCACCGATCCAGAACAGCAGACCATTGTTTGGTAGCTGTCGCAAATTCCAACTCTTGCACTGATCGCAAAAGCAACATATCGGACAAATCTCACAAATAATGTAACATAAAGTGGACATTTTGTCCACAACCAAAACTCTTGCATGCATGTTGATTGGATCTTAATAATTAATCATAGAAGAATTAAGCTGTCGATCTCTCGCGTACGCGCTGCTTCAGCTTTGTCGTCCTGAGCCCGGAGAAGGATGCAGGCGTGTTGAGGCACTGGACCGCGCGCCCGCATACCACCGCTGGCAAGGTGGGGGCAGAGAGATGAAGACCGCCGGAGCACGTGATTTCACCTTCACTGACTGTTTGGGAGGAGTTTTAGATTCTGAGAAGCAGCTGTTTGATAGTCAGTTTCTGAGAATCTGGAAAAACTCAAACCCAGCTTCTCCAGTTTCTGGCTTCTTAGTTCATTTTTCAGAATATGTAACTATAGATTCTCAGAAGCTGTGAACTGTTTGGGATAGCTTTTTCCAAAAGCTGCAGCTGGGACAAGCTCCCCCAAACAGGGTTTCCAAAAACTGCAGTTGGGACAAGCTCCCCCAAATAGGACCCAAGTATCCAGATCGATCGATCGATGGATCGCGTGCGCGAACCCGCATGCGTGAGAAGTGCGGACGCTCCCGGCCGTTTGCTAGCAAAGATGCTTTCTCGTTACATATGGCCCGATTTGCGGAGACCAAGATCGATTTGATCTACGTCCACGATATTACTCTCGTTACGGGGTCTTACGGCCGAATTTGCGGAGATGGATCGATTTGATCTACGGTTGAGATGTTAACCTCCATTGAATCGACGATCAGATTTTTCTAATTAACATGGAAGCTCATAAAAAGTAACCGATTAATATAGATATAGATATAGATATAGATAAATAGATAGATTGATATATTGCAGCCCACTTCTATTCCACGCTAGAAGCTTGAGTAGGCCTCGCGTGAAGGAGAGTGTTGGAAAATAAAGTGAATTGTCCGTCTTTTCTCATCAGATTAAGCTTTTAGGTTAAACTGCTCAATAATGTCGCCGCCAACGCCAACTTCGATTCCGCCACCACCGTTGGAATTTAATCTTGTTGCCACTGCCGATTCGATCAATTTCTCCGCTCTGCTCGATTTTGATTTCTTCGCTGGCCACTGCCTGATTCAGCCTACCACTGCGGCACTGCCTCTAGCAGTCTAGCTACCTCTGGATTTTGGCCCCAACATAGTAGTATCTCCGTTCGATTTGATTTTATCGCCACTGTCTGATTTTGATTCTGCCCGGGATGTTGGAGATAGAGGGTAGATTGAGGAATGTTAGACTATATTTGGCATGTACCTTGATTGGCTCCCTTCAATAAACCTCTCGATACTGTTTCTATAAATTGGTTGAGTGTGCTATGGAAGGTTGAGGCCTATATGTACTGATCTCCGCATATCAATATGATTATCGTGTTGATTCATATTCACTCTCATGGTATCAGACTACTGATCACTCGCTTCCGCTCTCTAACCTCCCCTCCCCGCCGGCGAACATCACCGGCCATTCTTCCTTCTCCGGCGACATGTCGTCCGCCTCCTCCACCCCACCGACAACTTGGAGAAGATAACATATGATCATGATATCATGCGGGATGCTTAGCCTAAAGAACAGTGCACGTGGTTGGTGAGAA